GTTCCCTTTTTGACCGGGCGTTCCGGTCAAAAACCGGACACCTGGCAACCCTAAGGTTGAGGTGGGGGCGGTGTCCCTGCAGAGGTTGTTGGGAAGGCTCTGAGCTGTGGCCAGGTTGCTGAGGTTGCTGGCCATGCTATATAGAGGCTGGCTGTGGGAGCAGGTTGATTTTTGGAGAGGGGCATTGGTCAGTTTCTCACACACAAAGATTGTAGTGAAGGTCATGAAGTAGATGCGGGGATGAGGATCTACTGGGCAACCTCTAGGGTTGGGGGCTACTTTATTGTAGGGTTGGGAGTGGCCCCTGGACCCTTTCTCCTGGCTCTCTGGAGTGTCATTGGACCCAGACACTTTCTTTCGGGGCCTATTTCTCCCCTCCAAACCCCCTGGCCCCAGCCCCACCCCCAGGGCAGCCTGCACCCCTAAACCCCTCATCCCTGGCCTGCACCCCCACCCCAATTCTCTGCCCTAGCCCTGAGCTGCCTCCCACACCACAATCTCCTCATCCCCAGCCCCACCCCAGAGCCTACACCCCCAGACAAAGCTCTCACCCCCCCGCATCCCAACCCTCAGCCCCACCCCCACCACACATCACCTCCATATTAGTTCACATAATAAAATTCATTCCGCTCATGGACATAAAAAATTAAAGGGAACGCTGCCCAGTCCATACATTACTGCTAAGGGAGTGTGGGGATCCCCATTGGGCCTGTGTCACACTCAACAATGTCTGTTCTCAGTGATGGCTATGGGGTCCCTTCCATTAAATTTTTTTTATTCATCTTCTGCTGAGTTCAGCCTTGTCTAGGTTAGGAAAAAGATAATTTTAAAAAATAGATGACAAACTCTATTTTAAATATCACGTAGGCTTTGTCTAGACTAGGATATAAAGGTGTGATATCACTGACAAATATAACATAGACAAGGCTCCCTACTCTTAAAGCCACTGAAAACTCAGCCAGTTTAGCACATGTTAAATGCAATGTGTCCTGTTGTCAACATTAGACTCTTTCAGTATGTTAGCTACGCCATGACTAAGAGTTGGTTGAGGAGATCTCTGGCCTGCTGATACTGTCTTTTATTAAACCTTGGAATACCAGGGATATTCCAGAAGAGGGTTAATGTTGTACCTATGGTCAAAAAGGGTGAGCTCGATGACCCAGGTAACGATATATCAGTCCTAGCAAAATATGGGATTTAACTGAGAGAATTAAAAGGAGAGAAATATAATTAATGCCAATCAATGTGGCTTTATGGAAAATATGTCCTGTTATACAAACCTGATTCTATTTGAGATGACAAGATAAAGGTAATTGCATAGATTTAGTATACATGATAATATGAAATCACTGCTGATAAAATCTGCAGATGACATGAAGATTGGCAAGTCGTAAATCAGGACAGGGCAATCTCCCAACATGATCTGCATCATTTGGTAAATGGCACATTCAAGAAAATGCATTTTAATACAGCCAAATGCCAAATTAGAAATTTAGGAACCAGGAATGCAGGCCATGCTTACAGAATGAATGGGGGCCAATATCCTGGATGGTGGGTGACTCTGAAAAGGATTTAGCGGATATGGTGGGCAAGCAACTTGATACGAGCGCCCAGTGCAATGCTCTGGCAAAAAAGGGCTAATCCAATGCTTGGATATATAAACAGGGGAGTTAGTAAGTAGAAATAGGGAAGGGATTTTTACCTCTGTCTACAGCACTGATGCGACTGGTACTGGAATACTTGAATATAGTTCTGGTGTCAATATTTGATAAAGGATAGAGCAATTGGAGTGTAGAAAAGAGCCACAAAAATGGTCTGAGGGCTAGAGAAACTGCCTTGCAGTGAACTTACATAAATCAATCTGAGTTCAATAGTTAATACAAAAGATTGAGGTGACTTGATTACTCTGTAGCAGTTCTTGTGCTGGGAGAAAATACCAGGTGCTAAAGAGCTCTTTAATCTAGTGGAGAAAGGCATAATAAAAACCAACAACTGGAAGCTAAAACCAGAGAAACTCAAATTAGAAATAACAACAATAATAATACAAATAACAGATTTGTAAGGGATGGTGATTAACCATGGAAACAAAATGCCAAGGGAAGTGGTGGATTCTCCATATCTTGATGTCTTCAAATCAAGACAGGATGCCTTTCTGGATGTTATGCTGTAGCCATACACAAAATATTGGGCTCAATACAGGGGGTAACAGAGTGAAATTTAACCTCCTGTGATCTACAAGAGGCCAGACTGGATGATCAAATGATGTCTTCTGGTCTTAAATTCTTTGTTTAAAAGTGTATTTTAACAAGTGTTAAAAGGAAACAGAAGCTTTTATGCCACAACTGAAATGAGTTATGCCAAAATGCTGCTGTGATTCACCATTGTTAGCAATTTCTGACTTACAGTCCCATATCTACTTTCAAAGGGGCATAACTGTCCAGTTATTGACTTTGAATGTGGACACCGACCTGTTGACACTCCTCATGTGAAGGCAGACACATTTGGCCTGTCATAAATATTGACTTTGTACACACTTTACAATGCTGTGTACACATTGGGGAATAACACTAATATTGTATATTAATTATATATATTAAATTAGAAGTAATTTTAATTTATTAGAAATATGATGCCTTCATAAAATCAACATAATTTCACTTTCAATGAGACTTTAAAAGGAGGGTAACACTAAGGGAAACAAATTCACATAAATACTTGATAGACCAGATCTGAGGCACCAAATAAATAAATGCTCTTACTGAGGGAGATTAGCTTTGAAATCCCTAATTATGTCTCACAATGCTGCTGCATGTTCTATTAACTTGACTTTATCATTGATAAACCTTAACCCAATCCACAAAAAATGCAGGGTGTTGTCCATTTTGTGAATTGTTCACTTCTAAAAATAAACCAACTCAGGAAGATGCGACTTTAGTCATTGCTTTCTATACCCCTCCCCCAGAGGCTGCTTCCCTATCCTCCCCTTCTGGTGTTAAAGATTGTAAATCATTATCCCTATGCTCATTCTCTATCATGAAGTGGTTGAACTAGCTTTCCTTTCTCTTCCCCCCTCCTCCCCTCTTTTGCAGCTCCATTAATACCTGACTCTCTGCCACTGTTGATCAGCTGTTCTCTCCAGCTGATATGCTGTGATGGAGCCACAGAGAATTCTGTAAACATGAGAAGAAAAACTTTAGGACTAACACAAATTGGTTTAGCTTTACTTCTCTTGCAGACACCTACTTTCACTATCAACTTTCTCTCTAGAATCTTGTCTTCCCTAGGAAAAAAGTGTTCTTAACTTGTTAGCTAACTTGAATTAATACACTTCTGCCAGGAGAGCCTTGTTGAACCTGAGAAGAACAAGCCACTTTATACCTCTGCTATCCTCCTATGCTACAGTTGGGTGTGCAGAGCCTGTTCCCCATGTGGTACGCCCAGATTTGGAGTGGGGAGTCTGTATCTCCATGCTCCTTGCCCTTCCTGGCTCCAGCTGGTACATATACTCTTTACTGCCCCCACCACCTTCCCTTCTTGCGTAACCCCTCGAAGTTTACCAGGGGCATGGAGAAATCTGGAAGAAATGGGACTTGGTAGCTGAGTGGTGGTGAAGTATGTCCAGATGTGCCCCTGGGACATGGGTGGTGGTTGTAATGCAGATTCTTGGTCATTTGGTGAAGGGGGTTCGTGAGATATAGCACCTCCAAAATGAACTGCTTATAAATTTCGTAGTGCTTTAAAATTGACGTGCAAAAGGAAATAGCTTTAAACATTGGGGTGGAGTTTGTGCTTCAAATTCAGTGTTACTTGATGAAGTTCCCAAAATGCATCCCCAAAACTACTTTTTTAATTTTAAAAAATGTGCTAAAATCCACATGAATAGTTAAATTGTCTTGAATGTTATCCTGGAACAGGGGCAGGGATATATTTTGGTGAAAATTTGGGATCATCTGGCCAAAGGTACAGATACAGCCCCCTAACAAAGAGCTCATTTTAATACTTGATTTAAAGCCCATCTGCATAAGGAGATTGTTTTTTAAAATTGGTATGCTACAACAGTGGCTGAGCTAGGATTCCTTTTATGGGGGTAGGGGAAGAACGCTCATTGCAGAGGTGCAAAATGACTCCTCCATCTCAGTCCTCATATGCTGCAGAAAATTATGCAGAGCCCCTTCTCCTACACTACCCCTGAAGTGAAGCAGGAAGTCTGGAGCTCCCCCTCTCCCATTCACTGCTGGTAAACATGCTCCTCACAGCCCATTTCATACCATTTTCCTTCTTCCCTAGATCCTCTCCAGCCCTACTTTGGAGCTGGTAGTGGAGGGGCAGTGGTGTCTTCCCAGGAAGACACTTCATTCCTACCTCCATAGGTACTTCAATCATGCCCCCAGATTACCACCACTTTTCTTGGAAAATGGTTTATAAGGCTAATTTTGTTGAACTTTAAATGACACTGGTTTACTGTATCTAATACGTAACTAAAAGTAAACCAGTAGTGAGATGTTTGCTGCATATGTCTTCATCTTGCTGGGTTTGGAGTTAGCAGGAAATAAATTGAAAATAACTATAATTTGAAAAAGAAGATGGGGAAACAGAACAAAAGTAAAACTTGAAAGTAGCCACTGTTATCTTTACTAGCCCAGTGACCAGCTTCGTCCACCTGACTCTATATGTAAATGGCTTGAATTAAGGTCTTGAGTATGGCAGCAGTAAATTTCTTTTCCTTCTAAATCTATATTGGTTACTAAAATATAATGCTTTCATTATCATTGCAGTGCCATTAATTTGACCTCTTGCATTTGGATAAGCTCATGGATAATCATTACTTTCTCTTCAGTCAGGATTAAGTCTGGCTTCTGATTTTGCACCTGCTTGTCACTGTGGGTGAAAGAGCAGAGGTTGGTTTTGAAAGTGTAGGCTAAAGTGGTGTAACCATTGACTACAGTAAGAGTACCATTTCTGGCATTGGTTATATGTAACATTACTGTTTCCTTCAACAGAAATTCTATGCTGGAGAATCAGCCTCAGAAGCACTATGGAATAACATCTCCAATTAGCTTGACTCCTCCTAAGGAAATAGATTATATTTACACTCAGAAATTAATTGAAGCCATGAAGCCATTTGGAGTATTTGAAGATGAGGAAGAACTAAATCACAGGTATAACTTTTAATATAATTGAAACACATTGCTTGAATATATTTTAAAACTAAGTCTAATGATAATTCTCATTACAGGCTGATTGTTCTTGGTAAATTGAATAAATTAGTCAAAGAATGGATTTCAGAACTCAGTGAGAGTAAGGTAAACATTTTTAAAATTCCAATTCAAGTAATTCTTAATCTTGTATTTTGGATTCTGTCCTCTGACTTTCTGCAAAGGAATAATAAATTTTCCATCTACATATTGGGCAATAGACTTGTAGCAACTGTCACTCAAGTTAAGGTTTGGAAGATTTTAACTACCTAGATCCTTAAACCTTTTTGTAGCAATTAAGTGAATTGGCCGTAAATAAATCATCTGTGTTTAGCAATACAAATTAGAATCAGATAACTTTATCTAATGAGTGTAGGGCCTGGCAAAATGAGATTATTTTTTTTAACTTCCATGATCTTATCAGTGTGCTAGATATTTTTTTTTTCTAGTAACTATTTTTATTTTTACAGTTACAGGGGGTAGGGTGAGGGTAGTTCTGACAGCAGGGCTGCAGGGGGCTCCTGGTGTGGCCAAAGGTCCATAGCCACCAGGGCACAAGATTTGGGGGTGGGTACAGTCATCTTGGCTCGGAAGAGCAGAGGCCCCCTCCTGCCAGGACTGTAAAGAGGAGGAAGAGCCTCAGCTGTGGGTGAGGCCACCCTGCTGCTCAACAGTTCCTGCCTGGGGATAGCTCCTACGCTCCTGGCTGGTGAGTAGGCGAGCAGGGCAGTGACAGCAGAGCTGCATAGGGCTCCCGGCATGGCAACAGAGCTGGTGACGCTGGATCCCTGGAAGGCTGGGATCCGGGTGGGTCAGAGCAGAGAAACCCTGGCCAGGGCTGTGAGGAGTCATCATCCCTAGCCAAGGAGGAGGCCACCTGCTGCTAAATGGCTCCTTCCCAGGGATGGCTCCTCCTCCTCGCCCTGGTTGGAAGCTCTGCTCAGCCAGGTCAGGACCGCAGCCTTTCTTCACCTTGTTCCTGCGGAGATTAAGTGTCACTGGCCCCACTCAATCCCCGCCAGCAGTGAGGAAGTTGTCTCTGGGCAGGAAGTGTTAAGCAGCGAGGTGGCTGCTACCACCACTTCCTCCTTGCAGCCCTGAACAGGGGTTTCTGCTCTGCCCTGGCAAAACCACAGCCAGCCTGCCTCCGTCCCCCCCACCCCACCCCTAGTGCCTGCAAGGATCAGGTGCCGCCAGTCCTGAGGCAGTGCAGGGAGCCCTCTGCAGCACTGCTGTCACTAGGGTGACCAGACAGCAAGTGTGAAAAATCGGGACGGGGGTGGGGGGTAATAGGAGCCTATATAAGAAAAAGACCCAAAAATCGGGACTGTCCCTATAAAATCGGGACATCTGGTCACCCTAGCTGTCACAGACCCACTTGCTCCAGTAACAGCAAGGCTGCAGAGGGCTCCCTGCATGTCTGCAAGACCAGTGACACCTGATCCCAGCAGGCATGCCCACTGTTAGGACTGATAGTTTTTCGTCAATTTCAGCATCAACCGAAATTGACATTTGCTGACCGTTATTAATTAAAATGTAATCCTGCAGAGCCTCTCTATAGAGCAGAGAGTGACATTCTAGCCTTGATCAAAGTTTTAAAAGTATCTCAGTCTGGCAGTGAAATAGCTATTTATAGCTCATCAGTTATGATCTAGTTTATATCCTATACTGGCTGTATTTAATTTATTACATGGCTCTTCAAATTCACATAAATGGAAGTATCTTTTACCTACACTGCAGATGTTACTTTTATAGTAATAAATGCTTCCATTGTATTTTTGTAAATCCACCAGGAAATGATTGCCACCATGATTTCGTATTGCTGTTACTTCAGTTGGCTGGAGAAGTTTGTTAGGAAATGGGTAATAAAAGTTCTTACTCCAGTGACAACCTTTTGTACCTGAGCAATCAGTGTGTTGCTGTTCATCAAGGCAGCCTAAGCTAATGTCCCCACATAGAGCAATTTTTATTTTTGTTTAGAAATTGCTGAGATCTTCTTCTTCTCAAATTATTTCACCCGTAGTAACTGCACTTTATCTGTTGAAATCTTACTAACTGCCAAAACAAGCCAACTTAAGGTCTTTCATAGTGCTAATATAGCTTGTAGGGCTCTAGATCTTGGGAACCAAGAGCTGTATTTTAAACTTGTATTTCTGCTCTATTTATAGAACCTCCCACCTTCAGTTGTACCAAATGTTGGTGGGAAAATATTCACGTTTGGGTCCTATAGGCTTGGAGTACACACCAAAGGTATGTCCTTTTTAATAGTGTCTAGTCATATAGTGTTTCAGACTAACTGCTTGATTAACTGAAGATGTATGGGATATTTTTGCAGGTGCTGACATAGATGCTCTTTGTGTTGCTCCTAGACATGTGGAAAGATCAGATTTCTTTCAGTCATTCTTTGAAAAGCTAAAGGTTCAAGATGGAATCAGGAATTTAAGAGTAAGTTTTCTACTTGTTTTCAGAGTAATAAACTTGTCCATGTTAAAGGGACACTGTCAACTAAACTCTTAAACTGACCAATTTCACAAAATTACTGTTGCTGACAGCAGTCTTCAAATAGTATTGTACACACAACTCTGTTAAAACACTAAGGTTGCAAAGTCAAGCACTCTAGGTAGGAAATATCAGAATCAAAGTTGCCTGTGCAACTTCAATCAACCCCTTTGTATATATGCATTATGATAGTGGTTAATATTCTTTCTACAAATTACACACTAATTTTGTGTGCCCAATTTGAGAGACCCTGAGAAAAAGCATGTCCTAAGTGGTTAGCATTATACTGCACTTAACATGTTTAAATCACAGCGCCCATTGATTTCACTTGCAGCTGAATGCTCACCATTTCTGCAAAATCAAGCACAAAGGTCTAAAGTTGGGCAGCCAGACCATGAGAAATGCACACATTTAGTGAAATTTTTGGTTTTAAGTGACTTGCTTAGATTACATAGGAACTGTGCAGCAGAGGCAGGGATAAAATTCAGTTATCCTGGGCAGCATTCAGCTGATTTAACCAGGAAACCATCCTTCCTCTTCCTACAGTCCCCTGCCTCATTCACTACATGCCTTCCAGCTTCTGCAACACGCGGCAGGAGTCCTATAGGAACAGCCTCCTTTAATATACATCCCCAATTCATCCTCAGAGCATATCCATCCTGTGCACTGAATGAGGCAAGGGTCCTGCGGAAAAAACTAATTAAAACTGTATCATCATGCAGGCACACAAGGGGGTCAAATGAAGGTTGAACGGGCAACCTTAATTTTGGCATTTCCTAAATTCTGAATGCTTGATTTTGAGAGCATTAAGATTGCAAAGTCGTTTTTTGTAACTTCTAATAATAATAATAATTAATAATTAATAAAAGGCAAACTGAAAAAACAAACTCCCTCATGTTGCATTATACTGATACCCACAGGGGTCATCAGCAGGGCTGGAACATTTAAACCTGCCACACAGATTTTGCCCACTTGAACTAACTGGGTAACTGATACTGTAACCATTATGGAATAAAACTAAACTGAAGCATGTGAAAGAAGGCTGGTGTGTCTTTCTCCTCTTCCCACTATCCCCAACAACATATAATATACCCTGAATCAACAGCTCAGATGTGTGAACTGCTCCATTCATCTCAGTAGGTGTTCACCCCTCTCCCCAAGCCTGTGATAGGCATGAAGCTGGCTGGTTCTCAGATCATTCCAGTCTCAGCAGTGTTCTTAGTGCAAGCTCCCACTAGGCTTGTTCTCCGTTCTCCACTCAGAGGGTCATGGCTTCCTCATATGACAGCTTGGGGGAGGTGGCGAGAGAAGGGGAGATCTGGTAACCCCCCCCTTCTCCCAGATCTGAAACGGGAGTTGGACACGGGCAGGAAAAGGGATTTAGACACCCACATGGGGCAGGTGTCTCCTAGATCCTGGCACATATATGGGAAAGGAGAATATGGGACTGACAAGCACCCCGCTCCTAATTCCTTCCTGTAGTCTCACCACCCACCTCCATGTCATCCCTCACCTTGCCACTCCCCTTACACCTGCTCCTCATCCTGAGTCCCACAACCCTTCTCCCCTGCCACCCCTCCCCATGTATTTTCCTTCCCTCCTAGGAAGCATTTCCTTGTGTAATATTATTTTCTTTTCAAAGATAGTTTGAGTGCACTCAGAATACATGTTCCCAAAATTAAAAAAAAAAAAAAATCCTTTGACAGAGGCAGATTTTTAGAAACATGCTTACATTTTTGTCCTGATTTATTTATATTTTTGTCCAATGGCCATATTAGAAGTTACTGTGCTCGGTGTTGCTCAAGTTCAGTGGTAGTAATATGTACCTTTGAGCTGCTCAGGTCCTGTACCTCATGACTGGCTAGCAAGCCTTTTTGGCTCTCTTTCTGCACATACACAGTGTAAACAGTTGGCACGTGAGCATTAGGCATGTACATCTCTAGAGAGCTAAGCTTCCTGGGAAATACTATTCAGTTTTGCTCCCCCAAAGGTTTAGTAGGTGCCTTGCACTAGCTGGAGTAAATGTCAAGCAACTGAAACCATTTTGCGCATGATCAGAGCCATGGCTTGATTCCCAAGTCTGTGCAAAAAAGTTGACTGACTGGCAACCTCAAGACAAGCTTTTTTGGGAGGTGGGGGTGGGATGGAAGCTGTCTCTTAGGAAAATGACCCTAAACTTGGTTCAGTAACTCTGCCCAGTGCCCCCCCCCCCCCCGAGTTAATCCTAGTTTCAGTATCTAGCAGTTGGTGGAAACCATAAGAAAGAACAGAATTATCAGACACATAGATAAACCTGATATATTGGGGAAGACTTTGTAATGATCTTGGGGTTCATTAAATAACAATCAACAAGAAAGGGATAAAACTTTATAAAACAAACTGGAGAGCTTCTGTGGTGAGCTGCTGCACACAGCCAATTTGGTGTTCCCAACGCCTGCCTCCAGGGTACATCGCCAAATTCCTAAGTTCATAATACCCCTTATGAGGGAGCATCTCTAAATTATACTCTTCTACAAACATATCCTTACAGACTCAACATGGCTTTTGTAAAGGGAAGTCATGTCTTGCCAATCTATTAGAATTCTTTGAGGGTGTCAACAAGCATGTGTATGAGGGTGAACCAGTGATGATAGTGTAGTTGGACTTTCAGAAAGCCTTTGACAAGGTCCCTCACCAAAGGCTCTTAAGCAAATTAAGCCATCATGGGATAAGAGGGAAGGTCTACTCCTGGATCAGTAACTAGTTAAAAGATAAGAAACAGAGTAGGAATAAATAGTTTCAGTAATGGAGACAGGCAAGTAATGGGGTTTCCCCCAAAGACCTGTACTGGGACTTGTGAGGTGGCAAAATTTGCAGATGATCCAAAATTATTCAAAATAGTTAAGTCCAAAGCTAACCAAGAAGAGTTAAAGGGATCTCACTTGACTGGGTAACAAAATGGCAGAATAAATGCAATGTTAAGTGCAAAAAATGCACATTTAAAAAAAAACCTACACATATATAAAGGTGGTGTCTAAATTAGCTGTAGAAAGAGATCTTGGAGTCATCATAGATAGCTCTCTGAAAACATCCATTCAATGTGTGATGGCCATCAAAAAATAGTCAGGAACCATTAGGAAAGAGATGATAAAACAGAAAATATCATAATGCCACTATATAAATCCATGGTATGCCCACACCTTGAATGTTGCATGCAGTTCTTGTTGCCCCATCTCCCAAAAGATATATTAGAATTGGAAAAGGTATAATTTGTGTTGCCCTTCTTTGTTAAGGCTATGGAATAGTTTCTATATGAGGAGAGATTAAAAAGACTGGGACTGTTCAGCTTAGAAAAGAGATGACTAAGGGGGATATGATCGAAGTCTATAAAATCATGAATGGTGTGAAGAAAGTGAATAAGGAAGTGTTATTTACCCCTTCACAGAACACAGGGGCCACCCGATGATAGCAGGTTTAAAACAAAAGGAAATGCTTTTTTCATACAACTTACAATTAACCTGTGGAACACATTGCCATAGGATGTCATGAAGGCCAAAAGCATAACTGTGTTTAAAAAAAAAAAAAAAAAAATTAGATAAGTTCATGAAGGATATCGATGGCTATTACACAAGATGGTCAGAGATGCAATTCCATGCATGCTATGGGTATCCCTAAACCTTCAACTGTCAGAAGCTGGGACTGGATGACAAGGGATAGTTCACTTGAAGTTGCCCAGTTCTCTTCATTCCCTTTTGGTCATTTGGCACTGTTAGAAGACTGGATACTGGGCTAGATGGATGATTGACCTAGTATGGCCATTCTTATGTTCTCTCGTACTCCAAATTTCAAGGCAAGGCAATCCAAGTAATCATGTAAATTTTAGAGCAGCTAGGAGTCACATTTCAAACAAAGCTTTTCTCAACTTTGAAGATAGCTGAGCGTTAACTGTTGTCAGTTGCAATCTTACTGATTAGAGTAGACAAATGTAAACACCTTTTTTTTAAAAAACTGGACTTTCCACCTTCCTAAGGGTAGGTCTACACTTACCCGGTAGTTCGGCGGCGAGCGATCGAACTTCTGGGTTCGACTTATCGCGTCTTGTCTGGACGCGATAAGTCAAACCCGGAAGTGCTCGCCGTCGACTGCGGTACTCCTGCTCAGCGAGAGGAGTACCGCGGAGTCGACGGGGGAGCCTGCCTGCCGCGTGTGGACCGAGGTAAGTTCGAACTAAGGTACTTCGAACTTCAGCTACGTTATTCACGTAGCTGAAGTTGCGTACCTTAGTTTGAATTGGGGGGTTAGTGTAGACCTGCCCAAGAGAAATGGGAAGACTTAACTAAGTATTGTATTGCATATATGCAAAGTAGTCTAGCAAATTGATTTGTTAGTATTTTTAAATACTGGTAAAATACTTTTTCTGGCCTTACACCCAGGAGGTAACAAAAGGTCAGAAGGTGAAACACAAGACTTGCTTTTAAAAATGCAAAAACTATTAGACTTTTTCCCTTCCTGCTTTACAGGCAATAGAAGATGCATATGTACCAGTTATCAAGTTTGAATTTGATGGTATTGAGGTAAGAATTAAAGCTTAGTGTCTAGTTAAAATGCAGATTATTGGTTTTTTGCTTTGGAATTTGGATGATATAACACTGGTTCTGGTCTCACTGGCACAAGCAGCAATTTTGCAAGGTTATTCATTAGTACTCCAAAGTCTAAGGGCTTGTGTACGCAGCTCTGCAGTTCAGATTATGGGGGTGTGAATTGCAGCATGCACCAAAGTGCTACACTGCAACTGCCACATGTGGACGCTGCTGGCACGAACTAAAAGGCACCTAGCTTGGGTTAGGACCATGTTAACATGAGCTAGGTGCCTTTTAGTTCATGCCAGCAGTATCCACATGGGGGAGTTGCAGCGCAGCACTTTGGTGCGTGCTGCATTTCAGACAAGCCTTAAGGGATGTCTACACAGCAAAGAAAACCCCCCGGCTGGCCTAAGTCAGCAGACTCATCAGGCTGCGAGGCTGTTACATTGCTGTGTAGACTTCCGGGCCTGGGCCCGAACACTAGGACTCTCCCACCCTGCAGGGTCCTAGAGCCCAGGCTCCAGCCCAAGCCCAGAAGTTTACACAACAATGAAACAGCTCCACAGCCTAAGCCCGAGTCAGCTAGCACAGGCCAGCCACGGGTGTCTAATTGCTGTGTAGACATACCCTAAGAGCTTGTCTCCACAAACTGGGATGTGAATCCAGCCCGCACTAGGTTGCTGCAGTCTCATTGTTTGTGTGCCCCCTGCTGACGTGAATTAACAGTCTTGTTTCAAAGAGGACTAGATCAGAGCATGTTAACAGACTGTTAATGTATGTCAGCAAAGTACTTGAACAGATAGTCTTAGTGTGGGCTAGATTCACACCCCAGCTTGCCACAAACTAAATGTTCACGTCCTTAAATTACTACAAAGTTAGTCAGGCTCTCATGCGGGCCATGCCTTTCCCCAGATTGCATATACTAAACTTCTATTTTAGGGTATGTCTACACTAGAAACGTAAATTGAGCTATATTAGGTTGATTGACCACCACCTCAGTAATTATTGCTGTGGTGCCTGTCCACACTAACCTCCTTGAGTCGGTGCTGTGTGTCCTCCCCAGGTGTGCTTCCACTGATCTAAGAGAGGCAGTGTGGGGAATTCAGAGGCCTGTCTCTCAGCTCTGCTTGCAGCTTGCCCCACAGGCTCCCAGCGGGCTGCCCCCATCCCCGTTTCCTACCAGGAGCAGGAGGGGGGAGAAGCTGCTCATGGCTTTTTGGCTCCCCACTGGGAGCTGGGCAGCCTGGTCAATTTCCCAGTGGGGAGCGGGAGCAGGGTCCAGTAGCCCAGGGATTTTTGCCCCAGCTCCCAGACAGGAGCAGGGTCTAGCCACCCCGGGTTCCTGCCATGAAATTGACAGAGAGCCAACAGCTGATGTAAGTAACACACACACTGCATTGCCCTAACTATACGGACGTAAGCCCTATGCTTCTCATGAAGGTGGAGTTATGATGTCAATGTAGTAGGGCACTTACCTCATTGGGAGCAATGCTGTAGCATAGACACTGACATAATTAGGTCGACATAAGCTGCTTTATGTAGACCTAACTGTGTAGTGTAGACTAGGCCTTAGTGGAAAAAATATCTGCAGGATGAAAATAAGAGCTAGGGTTTTGGGATACACACGTTCCTACTCAGTGACCCCCTTTCTTCTCCCTTCTGCCCCTACAATGTATAGCATGAATTGACTTGAGTAAATGTGGTGAGACTTTCAAGGAACAACATATCGCATTAACAAAGCAAAACAGACTTGCCACCTTTTAGAACAGGATTTTCCAGTTTGTTCCTGAGGCCGCTTGTGACCCTTCAAGGAAACTTACTTAAATACACATTTTCTTATGAACTAAAAATGTGTTCCCTGAGCCACAGACTCTTAAAATGAAGTCTTTGAATTAGCTCTCACTGCAGTGAGTGGAGAGTGTTGCAGAGGAAGGCAGTTCTGTGGAGTAGTTCTGGTGTGAGCCAGATGTGTGCTGAGCAGCTACCATCCCTTCTCTGCTGTAGCCACTTAGCTTCCTGCTGGCTGGCTACCATATTCCAGCAGAGGGAGGTAAGTAGCTCATTTGCTCCAGTCTGCCAGAGACCCAGAGCAGGATTTTGTCTCCAGAAACTGTCCCTGAGCAAGGGAAGGGGTTTCTAAGTGCAAAAGCTGGTTCTCCTCTCCCACGTGTTTACCCTGGGAAAGACAAAGCTGGGAACTAGCAACCAGTTGTCTCTCTGAATCTCAGCCCCAGGTTCCTTGAGTCATCTGGCAAACGGTTCCTTAAGGACTAAGACTAAGCTGGGGAAAGGTGCAAGCACATTCCAGCAACTCTTGGGGCTGTGCAGGGGGAGCCATATGAGCTGGTTGAATACATTAGCTGGGCAGAATAATAAACAGGTAGTTGCAGAAACCAGTTGATCAAACAGCGAGAGAGCCACATGGGACAAACGTGAAAGTTTGAGGAGCAAAAGTTGAGGCGGTGATGGCAAACAAAGGCTTCTAAAAGTTCCTCATTTAAGTCCTGGTTCAGTGTCTGCCAGTTGCGGGAATACTGTCAGAAGTAAGTAGTGTGTCTGAGGATCAGGGTGCTATTTACTTGTTCTATGTTGACAAGTTCTATGTGCTAACATAATAATATAATATGGAGATATACCTCTCTCACAGAACTGGAAGGGACCTCGAAAGGTCATCAAGTCCAGCCCCCTGCCTTCACTAGCAGGACCAAGTACTGATTTTTGCCCCAGATCCCTAAATGGGCCCCTCAAGAATTGGGCTCACAACCCTGGGTTTAGCAGGCCAATGCTCAAACCACTGAGCTATCCCTCCCTCCATACTTGTACTGTTTAGGTATTAACCATAGAACATCACCAGAAAGTCTTGGCACTGTATATTGGTGTAGACTTTAACTCTTTTACAAAAGTAGCTTATTGTTTACAATCCCACTTAAACTGTCTAAATACTAAATATACATCAAGGAACAGGAGCTGCAAAATGAGAGGGAGTTTCAGAGAACTTAGGTAAC